TTTTCTTCCTTAATTTCTTGTCATGGTGTGGTGAGTGTTGTTGATGTGTCCTGTCATCTTCCTTCAGTCTGTCTTTAACTTTTTCATTTAAACGTCTTCTGAGAATCTAAGGACCCAGGTTGATATTGGGTCTGAAGTAAGTTGGAATAAAGGCTTTTCTAAGTTACAGGTTTAAAGTTTTCAAAATTGAGTTTACAAAATTTCCCTTTTTTAGCTGCACAACAGTGGTCATCTGTACATGCCCATTGGACCTCATTTTGCAATATTAAAACATGTAAATTCCATATGACTTATGTGATCTGCATGCAGGTGTTAAAAGTGCAAGTGACATCACAAATGTAGCAATATTACGATTCTTGTCATATTTTGTGATTCCTTTTCATCTTATTCAATCGTTAGGGAAGCATTCTCACCGGAAATTAAAATCAAAATTTAAAAAAAAAAAGAAAAAGAATTTAGTGACATTTACATAGATAAAAATTGAAAGAAAAAATTCTATTGAAGATATTTTACTTGGTCATAGAAACTTTAAAGCTAACTTATAAGTATATAAATATTCAGACTTTCCAATTAGTTTTCTTCTCATTGCTTGTATGGTTTTAGAATTAAATTCTGATAGATGATCTGTATGTGTGGTAAATCATACACATGTATGTAATGTTTGATGATGAGAAATGCTTTCAAGGTGTAGATTTCCTGTGTCATGATGATACTGTCAGTTGTGGGATCATGCATTGAAATGTGCGACACTCGAATATATATCTGACACTCAAATGTACGTCTGACACTCAAATGTACGTCTGACACTCAAATTTACGTCTGACACTCAAACGTACGTCTGACACTCAAATGTACGTCTGACACTCAAATGTACGTCTGACACTCAAATGTACGTCTGACACTCAAATGTATGTCTGACACTCAAATTTAAACTCAAATGTACGTCTGACACTCAAATGTACGTCTGACACTCAAATGTACGTCTGACACTCAAATGTACGTCTGACACTCAAATGTATGTCTGACACTCAAATGTATGTCTGACACTCAAATTTACGTCTGACACTCAAATGTATGTCTGACACTCAAATGTATGTCTGACACTCAAATGTATGTCTGACACTCAAATTTACGTCTCTCACAGAAATTGGCGTATTATTGTGATAATTATTTATTTGCATATTTTTAAACCTGATCTTTTTGCTGTCAATTTTAATTTTGAATTTTAGTTTGATAATTCTGAATAGAATAGATAATGTAGTTTATCAAGCGTGATATATATATATTCTAATGCACGCTGTATATTGCTAATGGACTTTTAAAATGTTTGATGCATTTAAAAAAAGATTATTCATATTCTTTCAAAATTTCTGATGAAATAAGAGATGGTGTCAAGTTATTTATTTTATTGACTTGTTGCTGACAGGAAAATGAAATATGTTACAGGATATGGAAAGCAATTAGAGGGAATGACTCTTTATAATTGATAAAATATCATGATTGATAATGGACATATTCTGAAATTGCAATTTCTTGTTAGGTCTGCAAATGCAATAAAATAAAACATAATTAAGTTATTGTAAGTTTGTCATTCAGTAAAGATTTTTAAGATTATAATTTTGAAGTTTTGGTTGGTCAGGTGGTGCAGTAACACACTCACCTTTCACCTACCTGTCCGGGATTTGATTCCCGGAATGGATATGAAAAGGTAGGTGAGTTTTCCACAGATACTTAGGTTCCCTCCCACAGTAAGACAACAGGCAAATTTCATCCGGTCCGAAAAGAGTGATTAATATAAGCTGATAGACTGTTTTGCAATTGTTGTAAAATGGAGACAGTTTACATACAAAGTTTTAAGCAAAGAAAACAAGAAAAAGAAAAATCCTCCACAAAGAAAGATTTTGCAATTCAAAATGTCAAAATATTTTGCAAGGTACATGATAAAGGATACACAGACCAACTTTTGATGAGAATATAGGTTTGGTTTTCTTCACCAGATATCATCCTTTGGCCCTGATTACTTGATTTAGATGACATTTGTAAGAAGGAACACAATATATACACTATGTGCTATGTGACCATGCCTAGAACCATAAAAACTCACATTAACGTGATATCTGTGTAATCACAACATGCCCAGTAAATTGATGAACATCTTAAAAATATTCTGATCCGTCTATATACCTATATACATTATAAGTAATGTAATTATCGCCCAATCAGGTGATCAGATTGTCTAGGTATTGCCCTGACAGGGGAGATATTTGTGTTTACCTGTAGTGTCGTTAATACAGAGAATTTTAGGTATGTCTGTTTGTCTAAAAATCTCCCCCCACAAGGGATGAAGCTAATTTGGACATTAAGCTATGGTGGGGGTCAGTTTTCACACCTTATAATGTGTTCATTGACCCTCAAGTCATTGTGACCTGTAGTCGAAGAAACATAAACTTGTTTACATATTGATTCCAAAATTCCTACAGGTAAATTGTTGTGTGAGAAGATGGCATTCATTATTTATGTACTGGTTCCAGGTTGGTACTAGATGTACACTACAAAATCTGCCAGAAAACTGCTATATGCTTGTTATTGATCATAGTTCATGTGAGGTTGTTCTGGTGCAATTTTTTTTTGTATTTTCCTGTAATATTGAATTGTCTTTGAAGGCAGGTAACAGAAAAGCCAAGTTAATTTGCTGTTAGTAAGATTTTAGGATTAAATGTGCTTTTCTTTACGTAACAAAATATTTATGACTTGTCATAGTTTTATTGTAGGAAGATAACCTGTTGATAGTTTGTCGTCTCTTAAAATTGAACATCTAATAAAAAAGGTAGATGTTGATACAAGAGTAGCCTCCCTTTTATGCAGATCTTCTTTACCATACAAATCAGTTTTTTAAACTGTTATTTATGATGAGTGGTCAAAATGACCATTATTATTATTATTTTTTTTTCAAAGAAAGCAACATACAAGATAATAAAAATGATAAAATGTTCATGGAACATGGTTCTCAGTCGTGACCGCTGTGGACAGAAACAAGATTCGGGTCTGGATGTAGATTAAGGATAAAAAATAATACAGGATTAGTGTACTGAACTGCCTTAGGAAAATATCATTCAATAAACGAGAAATTAAGTTGTTAAAAGTCTTACATTGTTCTTAAAAGGTTCTGTATTATTCTCTTGGACTGTAAGTTGAGAAAGAATGTAAATAGCCTGTGGGAAAAAGGTTACACGAGTCAGATATTAATTTTATAAAAATTAATCATGCACGTGTCAGCCTCCAGAGAAATTTGATTATCTAAATTGGATTAAAATCTTATTAATGTCTTCTGTATTAATTAGGATTTCCTTGTAATTATAATCCATGGCTGCATATGAACGATACAGAATGAACATACAAGGATAATTATTACAACGGTAATGACCTTTAAAATGAAAATACAATCATGTGACACCACCATCTTCTTCATAAATACAGTTGCCTGATTGCAATATTATGATATATCTGTAAATGATTTTACAATGCTTCAGGAGACATTGTTACACTTGTTGGTGAGATAACACTTGAGGAATGCCTAAATGACTGTGACTTTGAAGTCTAATTTTACACTAGAACAATACAGAACTGGCAAAACAATGTACCATTAAACCTATTGAATAGCTCTGGTTAGATGACGTGCTTCATTTGATCAGAAATAGTCTTATTCTTTATGGATATTATTTTTAACCCTCTTCCAAGTTACGTTGACATCAGCTCCCAACCGAATGAATTGAATACTTCTTAAGAAGCTTTTGTAAGTTAAGTTCTCTGACAACAGGCCAAAACGTAATACACTATAGCAGTTGAGCTCAAAGTCTTGTCCAAAGAACAATTCTTTATAAGTTTTAGTTTAATGATACACCTAACCGATGGTCTTTCGAGCACCCCAATTTGTTTTGTTTTGGTTGAGGTATATGAGGTTTAAAGCCAGAATGACATTGTGTCCATTTTGTAAGAAGTTTAATAATGAGATAGGTGGACTTAGTCATTCATAATGTATCGTGTATTCAAATTAATTTTTTACATGTGTAAACTATGTGTGTATAGAGGTGCACTATGAAAAAATAATATCTCACACACATTTCATTAGTAGGTGTGTGACTCATTGTCAGAACAGAGTATAGAGATTCCTATGGATATATATGTGAGAGGGAAAAAATGATTGGCTTGTCTCTATTCTCGTGGATTTAAATGTGAATTTCAATTAATGTGCTTGTTCTAAAGAACATATACTACCGGATGTTACTTTAAATAGAATGTGGAAGTGACGAAATTGCTAGTTTTATTGCTCAAAATTTTCTCTGATTTTAGAAGAGTCTGTCGATATAAATTGAGATGCACCAGTATTCCAAAATTACAGTGATTTTGTTGTGTGGTGGAATATTACATTATACTCTTTCTGGTGTGATCAGACCAATGTTGTTTAACTGGGGACACCTAGAATCATAATATACGAAAGAAGCTGTAATTGCTGGTAAATGGTGTTTGTTATTTGGAATGATTTAGCTATTTAATACTTCAAATTGAAGTCCAGGCCAGGGTAAATTAATCTTCAGAATTTCGTTACACAAAAGTGGGATCGTTTTGTAATTTAATTGGGAGGCTATATCATAGAGGCAGAGATTTGGGTGTCGACAATGCTCGATTGTTGATACCCAATGCAGACTAGGTCTGAGGGAATCTTTTACAATTTTATTCATGTAAAGGATGGCATTTACAAACAGGTTTTTTTTTTTGAGAAACTGCTTGTGTAATTGAAAGAGGAGGTGATAAAATACTGCTTTATCACTGATTGGATCAATATAAACAGATTTGGACAAATAAGGATTGGAGTATTAACCAGAAAACACATGGACCTTCAACACTGTAGATGTTATTTACAAAACAGAAGAATTTAAATCGTGATGTTCCAATTTGCTGTAATAATTGAAAACTTGTCTGATGATGATTAAGATTACAGAATGACGTCGAATAGGTCACGATCTGGATCCCCATGGAGCCCATTAACCCCAGACACCCCCAAGGCAGGTGGATGGGAGTCTCCTTGGGGTCGAGTTTCTACTCCCACTCCTCGGGGACCAGTGAGGAGCTCTAGTGTTGATGCACCTGCTCAGGATTCATTGTCCACTCGATGGGCAAGTTCTAGGTCACTCAGTGATAGTGGACAAGGACTACCAAGGTCAGGAAGGTCATCTCCCTGGCGAGATTCTGAACTGTCACATGTAGGGAAGTCTGGAAGCCCTGTAAGAAGTCCTGAAGGAACTGGGACTTTATTTGATAATAAGTCCTTGCGAGGCAGTCGGGAGTCTGTGACTGATAGCAAGAGTTTAAGAGGTAGTCGAGAGTCCTTATTCAGGCCTCAAACCTCAACTCCTAGAAGTGAGTTTATGATCACCCACAGGGGCAGATCTCCATTTAGAGGACCAGGTAGTGGGGCAGCCTCTCCCTGGATGGCTCGTGATCGTGGCATGCCACGGCCCGGGATAGTCAGTAGTCAAAGAAGTCGGTTTGAGGGTCCAGTGAAGGGAAAAGTCGACTCGGATAAATCAGATGTTGAGGCAAATAAAGAAAATCTTCAAAAAGAAAAGGATGGTGTACCCAAAGCAGGACAAGATCTGTCATCAAATGAACAGGTAGTTGGTTCTCCGTCCAAAGATCAAGAAGAAGTCAGAAAAAGCTGGCCTGATGCTTCCACTAGGGGCCAGGCTACGGTTGCGCCATGGCGGGCTAACTCAATCCTTGTCAGTCAGAAAGGTCAAGGTCGGCCATCTTCATGGAGAGGTCAATCACCATCTCACCAAACAGATAAAAAAGATCAAGATCATGTACCGGTTATTATAGAGAAGTCAAATAGTCAAGGTCCAAGTCGATCGTCGTCGCCATGGAGAGGCAACTCTCCATCAGGAAGTGTCATTCAGACAGATAAAAAAGTAAGGAGTGGTAGTGAACCTTCTTCACAAACTGGTCAGTTGGATGAGAAAGGTCAGAGTGCTTTAAGACCTTCATCACTCTTATTAGATCAATATTCATCACGAGGAAGTAGAACTTCATCACCAATGAGGGGACATTCACCATCAAGTTCAGGACCAGAAGGTCGTGCATCTTCACCATGGAGAGGTCAGTCTCCTTCACGGGGAAATATAAAAAGTGAACTAAGAAAACATGGCCATAGTAGGCCATCATCACCAATGAGAGGTCCTTCACCTTCTAGTCAAGATAGTCACAAAGGTCATGAGGGTAGTCAAGGTCGTCCGTCATCCCCTTGGAGAGGACACTCTCCTACTGGAATCATGTTCCAGTTAGAGATACAAAGAAGAAAATCGGTTTCCCCATTCAGATCGCATGAAAATGGACCTGTGAAAGCTGATGCTCAATTGATAGGTCATGAGGTCAAAGGTCAAAAGAGGTCAGGATCACCAGGTTTCACTAAGTTGCATGATACTGGGAATAAAAAAAGAATGGCATCACCTTATACACAACGGACTGAACATGATTCTCCCCATAACAATGTTTCACCTACAGAAATGACAGATTCCCCTTTGAAGGGTCAACAGGGTATGTCACCAAACATTAAAATGGGTGTGGACACTGCTGGACAGCAGAGCTCTATTCCTATGGATGTAGAGACCCCCATTTCTGGATCCCGTCACTCTAACTCCAAATCTAAAATACCACAGTCATCAAGTAGTAACGGACAGCGTGTGGTTAAACAGTATAGTCCTAGATCTAGAAGTGGGAGTCCTAGAACTGTAATAGCTAGTAGTAACGGACAGCGTGTGGTTAAACAGTATAGTCCTAGATCTAGAAGTGGGAGTCCTAGAACTGTAATAGCTAGTAGTAACGGACAGCGTGTGGTTAAACAGTATAGTCCTAGATCTAGAAGTGGGAGTCCTAGAACTGTAATAGCTAGTAGTAAGGATGTTTCACGTTCTGGACAGGACATGAGTGGTCGTTACACCCCGAGATCAAGAAGTGGTCAAAGTAGTCCAAGATATGTAATTACCGGTGACAAAGCTGGACAAAATAATGATACTTCTAGATCTCGAACTGGTCGAGAAAGTCCGAGATCTGTAATTACTGGTGACAAGGATAAAGCTGGACAAAATAATGATGGATATACTTCTAGATCTCGAACTGGTCGAGAAAGTCCGAGATCTGTAATTGCCAGTGGCAAGGATGTGAATAGGACCAGACAAGGTCGTAGTGGTGAAGAAAGTACCCCTAGACCTGGTATAGGTGGAAGTTATCTAGAATCTCGGATACCTAGATCGATGTCTTCTGGTGCTATTGATCAACCAGATTCTGTTGAGAGCACACTCATTGGACAAGAAACATCACCAGAGCTTAAATCACCATGCAAGGATGATTCCAGATCACAGCTGGAATCACCTGTAGGGGGACACAACTCTGTTATACAAGAACCTGTTATCATGGGAAGGGAGACCCCCAGGTCGGCCCATCCCTCGGGGCTGGCCCGTCAACTGTCTGCTGGAAGTAGGAGTCGATCTAGCTGGTCAGGGATACCTCAGTTCGCTTGGTAAGTTCTTGTGTGAAGAAAAAAAGGGAGGTCACTCTAAATGCAATCTCTTATCTCAATACATGTATATATACTTGCTTACCCTAATGAAAGAAACTATTTCATCTTAAAACTGAAAATAACTCTTCAACAAGTATTTTCTGTTTTTACTAACAGCAATACTGGTACACTTATCAATAGATTTTGAGATTTTATTTCATGTAATGTTAAATTTAGCAAGTTATTTCAAATTGATTCACAGGTATTTTTTTTCTTAATTTTGGAGGTGTAAATTGTTTGAAAAAATGCTGTCTGAATTATCCAGAAAGCAGTATGTCAAACTGGAAATGAAAATTTAAATGACTGGATATGGAATCTGTAGAAGACTTTGTATAGGAGTAATGGGAATGTATTGACTTGCTAATGTAAGCAGAGAAGTAGAAAGGGCGGGATTAAGTGGAGATTATCTGTGGGATTATAGTATTATCCTAAGTATGGATTTCTGTTGATGTGTATGTCAATCGCCAGTCTGCCGTGGTTTTGACAGATTACAGAATCACGGGCCAATCTTTATCTTACCCTTTACACCGTGTAAATAAATTATACTGCCTTGAGTAAGGAATTCTCAGCGAATTTTTTTTTTCAAAAAGAAGGCCATTTGATGAGTAATTCTGGGATTTTTACTTGATGTCACCTGTCATAGCAGCCATTCCCTTGTATCTAAGAAACATGGTGCTGGGTCTCGTCCAACCCTCAACAACAGGAAACTGTACTTCCTTGTTGTAAGGATATTAACAGTTGTCTTCTAGTCAGACAAGCTTCATTATAAATGTGACGAGGAGAGGGGAGAGAGGAAGGAGAAGGGGGAGGGGGGGGGAGGTTGGGGAAGGGAGGAAGGCGAGTGTCATCTGTTGTGTGTGATGAGGGATGTAGGATGTCATTTTGTGTGTAGAGAGGTTGTGGGAGGGGATTCTGTGTCAATTCTTGTGAGGGGGTAAAGTTAAGGAGGAGGGTGATTATTTCTTGTGTTTGTAGAGGATGTAAAGGTAAGGAGGAGGGTGATTATTTCTTGTGTTTGTAGAGGGTGTAAAGGTAAGGAGGAGGGTGATTATTTCTTGTGTTTGTAGGGGGTGTAAAGGTAAGGAGGAGGGTGATTATTTCTTGTGTTTGTAGAGCGTGTAAAGGTAAGGAGGAGGGTGATTATTTCTTGTGTTTGTAGAGGGTGTAAAGGTAAGGAGGAGGGTGATTATTTCTTGTGTTTGTAGAGTGTGTAAAGGTAAGGAGGAGGGTGATTATTTCTTGTGTTTGTAGAGGGTGTAAAGGTGAGGAGGAGAGTGATTATTTCTTGTGTTTGTAGAGGGTGTAAAGGTGAGGAGGAGGGTGATTATTTCTTGTGTTTGTAGAGGGTGTAAAGGTAAGGAGGAGGGTGATTATTTCTTGTGTTTGTAGAGGGTGTAAAGGTAAGGAGGAGGGTGATTATTTCTTGTGTTTGTAGAGGGTGTAAAGGTAAGGAGGAGGGTGATTATTTCTTGTGTTTGTAGAGGGTGTAAAGGTAAGGAGGAGGGTGATTATTTCTTGTGTTTGTAGAGGGTGTAAAGGTAAGGAGGAGGGTGATTATTTCTTGTGTTTGTAGAGTGTGTAAAGGTAAGGAGGAGGGTGATTATTTCTTGTGTTTGTAGAGGGTGTAAAGGTAAGGAGGAGGGTGATTATTTCTTGTGTTTGTAGAGGGTGTAAAGGTAAGGAGGAGGGTGATTATTTCTTGTGTTTGTAGGGGGTGTAAAGGTAAGGAGGAGGGTGATTATTTCTTGTGTTTGCAGAGGGTGTAAAGGTAAGGAGGAGGGTGATTATTTCTTGTGTTTGTAGAGGGTGTAAAGGTAAGGAGGAGGGTGATTATTTCTTGTGTTTGTAGAGGGGGTAAGGGTGAGGAAAAGGGTGATTATTTCTGGTGTTTGTAGGGTGAGAGGGAGTAGGGGACATTTTTTTATGGGAGGAGAGGATTTAGAGGTTGGGTTGCTGTGTTGTGTCATTTTTTTTGTGTGTGTAGAGGGGATGACAATGAGAAGGTGGCATTTATTTTCTATCTAAACTTTTTCTAAATCTGACATGTAACGGGATCATGTGACTGCCATGTAGTTTTAACCTCTAAAGCTTTTGGACTTTCCAACGTGGTCAAAAAGTCTGATCAATTATAAGCTGATGAATTCTTGTTACTTGTAAACAAGTTGAAATGATTTGATGCCATACTTCTTAACTCTCTTTCAAATGTACTACAGTCATACCTGTATTTTCTTCATCATAAACAGCAAAAAAATAATTGTACGAGATAGATCTATAGACATGATGACAATACTTCTGGTCCTAGGTGATTTATAACACATTTGTGGTTGATTATTAATGAAAAGAAAATGTCTTTGTAATGAAGATGGACTCAGAAAAGAACATTAGGGGATAGGCAGGTGTTTCTGTGGTAATTGATTACAGGTAAGTTCTAATACATAGACTCTGATGGCAAGACACAATATTAAAAGTCTGAATAAAGGACTGAGGTCAGGTATGGATAATGACCATCATTCCACTGGTCAGACATGTAAATGAGGTCCATTATCAGGGTAAAAAAAACCTCATCCTTTGTTACGACTTAGTGGGCAAGGTTAAGGGACCTATAAAGTTGTAGGTATGGGCCGGTAACCTTGACAGAAAGATGACCTCTAATTATATCTAATGACCATACTTAGGTATAAACGACTGCTATTTTGCACCTGTCGTGTTCTCCTGACACCAGCAGATTCTTATCTGGATCATTTTTGTAACTGATGAAGGAGATTTGTATAAAAAACATTGGAAAAGTTTAAAAAGCATGGGCAACATTTTAGAAAGCATGCCTCTCTTTATTTGTCATTGCAATTTTTTTCAAAAGTAGTTTTACTTATCATAAATAAACATTTCATTTCAACTTTACTTTTGTGTATTAGCATACGGGTAGATATTTTGAATTTTCAAACGTCAAAAGATCAGAATGATATGTCAATTAAAGCTGATAATGCCTTGGAAATCTGAGGTCAGAATTACAGTTTGTGCTGACAATAGCTGTTATGTAATTACAGGGTGTAAAATCTGCAACATAAACAAGCGTTATTTGTTGCTTCCTGGACCAATTAAACATGAAAAGGACGACCATGCATTGGTCTACTTTTATGTGGAGAGAAAAGTGTATTCTGGTGAGAAATTAGGGTCTTTGATGGTGGCCAGCAGGTGATTCTCCTGGTGTAATATTGCTTGACAGGACCACCACATAGAAAATTGATTTTTGAAATGCAATATTTTGAGGATTTTTTTTCTACATTTATTTTTTTTTTGCGGATGGCTGCATTAATAATTGAGTTAAAGCCCACAACCCAATATATATAAATGTTGTTTGAAAATTATGTTATTTTCATTGGATTTATGTAGTCATGGGTGTCATATATTCAGTATTTGAAAAGCTATCTTCATCTCTATTTGATGTTGATAAGTAAAAACCTGAAGCATTTGAACAGTTACTTAACAACTGTGAAACCTACCTAATCTGAAGCCTTAAGATACCACTCCATTCTATCACGACATAATGTGATCAAAACTCAACTAATAAAGTAAGTTTCATATTGATGGTGTACTTTGGTTGTACTGTAATAAGCCCACCTCTTAACTTTGATTCAGTGGTAATATCTTGTCCCTCTGGGCCATTAATAATGTGTCTCTGACATCATCAGTGTTGTCCTGGCAACAAGTTGTTGATTTCTACAGCTTGGTATACTAGTGTGAATGGATTCAAAGTTTCATTCCTTAATGGTTGGTAGCCGTTCCTTCTGATCATTGACCCTAGCATCTTGAGAACTGTGGTAAGGTTTTCTGGAATGACAATCTACATTTACCCTCTAGCATCAGAATTTACATATGGTAACCAGTACAACCAATATGTCTTGACATATCTAACCTGAGGCCAGTTCGTAGAATCATAACTGCATTGTAGCTTAATACATTTTCAAGATTTTGCTTTCTCACCTCTCATTCACATTTTTTCTTTCAAAAAGAAATAAAAAAATGAAAACCAGGAAACTTGTCAGTGATAAAAAGGTCACATAGGAATGCTGTGTCCTAAAGAAAAAACTTTTTGACCGATTTTTATTTGAGATTTATAGATAATATTTATCTATATTTGGTTCGTTGTGTCCTTTTAAGGCAAAATAAAAAAAGATTTAACAGAAACTTTGACCCGATCAACTCTAGGTTTATAAAAATTTACAGATTCTCTGTGTCAGCTTTAATGATGATGAATATAATTGTTGCTATATTTAAAACCTGCAATAAAGTACATGGTGAATTTTAATGAGTATTATCTAATTGTTCCAATTAGCATTAATTATTGTTCTGGTTAGTTTTTGATAAGCAGGAAGTTTTTGACAGGAGCTTTCAGAATCTGGTATTCAAATTAAAAGGAAAATATCATAAAAATTTCAAGAGGTTACGCTTTAAATGATTGATTCATTGTTTAATCATCAAGTGCTCACCTGGAAATTTTTTGTCAACACCTGATAGAAATTAGGACTTTGACGTCATCATAAATCATATGTGTATGTCAGGTTTGTCATTTATTGAAAAAATAAGATATTGGTGTCAAAATTTAAAGCTTACATAAAGAATTGGTGTCAAACTTCATTGATATCGGTCAAAAAAGGAGCGTCACACATCATGTAGAAATTTTCATCAGTAAAGCATTTTGTGTCAAAATTGATAAGGAAACTGTTTGACTGGTATCATTGAACATGTTTAAAATCTTAAAAATTTAACACACAGATGCGTCTGAATTGGGTTTGTATTTGAAACTGGGAAGTCATGTGTCAAAGAAAGTATGAACTTATCTGTAAATCTTTTACACAGTTCATTACCAGCACTTTTAGAAAATCAGTACCTACTTGTTATTTCGTCTATTCACTAAAATAGTTGAAGCTCTATGCTAGATTTGTATTCAATATTCCTAGTGT